TGGTGGTTAAGGGCACTGGACTCTCATATGGCTGACTGCAGGTTGAGTCCCAGACCTGGCAGCTTTCTCTCTCTCTCTTTCTCTCTCACTCTGCCCCTCTCTGGTGAAATTAAAATAAATAAAGTTAAATCAAATAATTTTTAATTTAAAAAAAGAAGAATGAGGATAATATACAAAAAATACCACGCACCATTAAATGTCCAAATATCCAAATAATGGGAATTCCAGAAAGTGACAAAGCTGGTAAAAGCATAGAAAACCTCTTCCATGGGGCCAGCAGGTGGCATAGTGGTTAAGGTGCTGGATTCCCACATGGCCAGCCACGGTTCGAGTCCCGGATCCATTGGCTTGCTTTCTCACTTTCTTTCTCTCTCTCTCTCTCTCTCTCTCTCTCTCTCTCTCTCTGTTTCTCTTTATGTGTCCTATAGCAAAATTTAAAAAATAATAATAAAATTGATAAATAATTCTAAAAAAAATTAAAAAGAAAATCTCTTCCACGAAATAGTATTTGAAAACTTTCCAAGTCAAAAGATACATATACAAATCCAGGAAGCACAAAGGACACCAAAAAAAATCAACATAAGGAGATTCCACTTCAGATTATAGTCAAGGTGGTAAAAATCAAAGACAAAGATAAGATTCTAAAAATGGCAAGAGAGAAGCATCAAGTTACATACAAAGCTATGCTATCAGGTTAACATCAGATCTGTCAAATGAAATGATGCAAGCAAGGAAAGAATGAAAAGACATATTCAAAGCTATAAAAGAAAAACAATTTTAACCAAGAATACTATACCCAGCAAGATTAACCTTCAAATGGGAAGAAGAAATAAAAACAGTCTCAAAGTGTTAAGTGAAAAACAGTTTCATCCAAGAATACTAAACCCAGCAAAATTATCTTCCATATGGAAAGAAAGAATAAAAACATCCTCAGATAAACAAGACCTGAAAGAATTTGACAGTAGCAGACCCACTCTTCAAGAAGTTCTGAAAGAAGTGCTCAACCAGTAAAACTAAAGACACATACAGAAATAAGAGAACAAAAGGCAACCAAGAAATATCAATAACAACGTTGAATGTTAACTTCCAGGATTTAAACAGAAAGATTGGAC